AAACCGAATGAAATAATTCAACATGGCGCCTGTGCTGGAAAAACGATTTGATAAAACTGTTCTTTTTTATTTACAGAGCTTATATAATGCATTTTAACTTCCAAAGGGAACACACTTTATGTTTTAGTTGAATTAATGGGTTCACTTATTTGATATGCTTCGTACAACCATGAGGTATTTTAGGCAATTTCTGTCACATTACATGCAGCCGAATTCAGTCGGGTTTTTTTACACACCCTGCAGAAACGTAAACAAAATAGCTGAAAGATTTTGGTAGTTGAAATATTTCGATGTAAATAGCTTAATTGTCAAGGAAACTACATATTTATTGCATAAGATGCAGGCTCAGGTATATTTACAAGAAGTATGAGAGTAATTTTAAACTTTATCCGCCTTTTAAGCTAAAGCCTTTCGGACAAACCGGCCCCAGATCTATTTTGATAGATAGCTCACACTATAGGCCTTCAGGATTCTCTGATATGAGTCTGATTCAATTATTAAGTGTTTCTACAAAATTTCCGGAGCAAAACAAGAATACAAAAAGAACCAGAAGTAGATTAAAAGCATCTCTCAAAATAATGACGATAATGAAGAATCTAGACTTTCAAATAAGATGTCTTTTGGAGCCAACTTTAGGCCCTTGAATGTTGGCTAATTTTGCTTAACTTTCTTTGAAACTTTGCAGTGTTGTGGTTACTGGCAAAAATTCAAAGAGTGATTTAAAGTTTTTAGTATAGTGCATAAAAGTCATTGGTATAGTGCATAATCAGTGCACAAAAATGTAATATATTTTGTCTTCCTTGCACCGGTAATAATGCTTTACAAATTCGTTCTCAATCTATCCACACATGACACGTCTCTTTACGGGTTGTTTTCCGTCTTTCTCTTCGTCTCTGAATTTCGTTCCATCCACGGGCCGGGTTCCCTGTGATCTGAGATGGCATGTTGTATATTTATATAAGTGTCAATGCTGTAGTGCATTGTATGTTGGTCAATCTCGCGGCATATACACACACGAATCTCAGAACACATGGGAACTTCACCTTTGACTGATAAGAAACGTTCTGTTTCCACAATGTCGGGCATACTCGCTCGCTTGCATACAACTAAACATAATATCTCGGACTTTAAGTTCGCTGAAATTTCAGAAGCTTATTTATTTGCGCGTGGACGTCTATATCCTAATTGTATCAGGTCAACTCCACTTAGCTTGTATAAAAAATTCAGCGTATAACCAGATCGATGCACCTTATCAACGTTTAAACACAGAATGAAAACAATTACGCTTGCACGAAATAAAGAAGGAAGTTGATTCAATTTTTACATGTCAACCCTTAAACACCTGCCAATCAGATGCAATGGAAACAAACACTTTTTATACCTTTTAAACATCCTGCGGGAAACAAACACTTTTTATACCTTTTAAACATCCTCATCCTCTTGTCCATCAATAGTCCACTTATGATGCAAGACCATAAATGGATACAGGAAGAAAATTGACACAAACAGGTTCTTTAAAAAGGCGTTACCTAAATGTTACACAGATGGTATATAACCAACAAACGAACAGCGTCCGACACAGAAGTCGCTTGCCCCATGCAACAACGAGGAAGATAAAGAAAGCAGAAGAAACCAAAAGATCCATTTTTACGGCCAGGTACTAAACTTCAATTTTTTTGTTTTCTATATCTAACAAGACGCTTGCTAAGCTTTTACTCGAGCTGAAGGAGGATTCTTGCTTGTGCTTTTAGCCGAAGAAGGTTTATGAATAAGGGCTGAAGATTTTTAGGTACTGCAAAAACAGCACAGGCTAACTTAAAGCGACGGCTATACCTTTAAGAGGGGAGTGGGAAGTCGGGGAATCGATTCACTCAACAAAAATAGCAACAAAAATACATAATATATTTTTAAATATATGAACTAAATCGAGTACACAAAATATGCGTACAGTCGTCAAGCTTTGATCAAGTACACAGAATATGCGCACAATCGTTTATAATTTTGATCGAGTACTCAGAATATGTGCACAGTCGTTTAGCTTTAATCAACTACACAAAATATGCGTACAGTCGTTTCGTTTTGATCGTAAACACAGAAATGCGTACAGTCGAGTACACAAAATATGCCTACAGTCGTTTAGTTTTGATCTAATACACAGCATCGCCAGAAAAACGCGACATGCGATTGCGTAACACCTCGAACGCACGTATCTAATTGCTTTAATTAAAATATTTTTTATGTGAAATTGTATCAGAAGAGCACAATTCATTCAAAATATTAGCTAAACTGTTTGTGAACCACAACAAACGAAAGCAAGGCATTGTAGAGTAAGCGTCGGCCTACATTGCCCACTAACTACTTATCGTATTCTACAAATCGCGACTTGTCCCCTCCGAATTTTATGAAATTTAGATTTCTATACGACCGTTACTGTAATAATGCATGTCAAATAGACGGCAATGATTATAAAACAGGCGATAAAAATGACATGAGCGGACAAAATTTGCCAACGAAACTTGAAGTTATTACTCGAAGTTGTCTAGTTCCGTAATATATAAATATTTCGTTCGCTTACGTTATTCCCGTTTGTCCCTCGTAAAATATATTTAAACGCACACAAAGCGCTCACAAATCCTCCGCTAATCCTCCGACATGATAATTTGCATGTATACTAATTTGCATTTAACTTTCAGCATAATGGCCTTCAACTTTTACTATAAAATACATAGAGTAAATATACAAAACTTAAAAATGCCGTTGCCTTAGACCTTGCCTACTGTTTGCCGACCTCTAGATCGGTAGAGCAGCTGTTTAGAATCGTTTCGGTGACCAAATTTTTTAGCTTGGGCATTTCTGCAATCTGCCAAATTTAAAAAATATTGCTCAAAGTTTTATCCGTGTTCTGTCAACGAACTTATAAAATCGCTCACATTGATTCGAATATCTCGATTCAGGTAGTTGATAAATTATTGACGTGTAATATACCAAAAAAAATTGTTAAAGATATTGTCTTTTTCTGTACGGCTCGGATTTTCACTGCAATCACTTTAAAAAATATTATCAGTCTTATCAGGAACTTGAACAATACGAAGGCTATATACACATTTGTTCACAATCAGTTGGCCGAACGTAGAAATACCTAAGGTAAGTAATTCGATCATTAAAACTTTGGGAAACGGCTGTTCTATTGACCCAGAGGTCGGCAAACAGTAGGCACGGTCTAGGACAACGGCATTTTTAGGTTTTGTATATTTACTATATGTATTTTACAGTAAAAGTTGAAGGCCATTATGCTGAAAGTTAAATGCAAATTAGTATAAATGCAAATTATCATGTCGCAAATTTCTGGTAATGGAATATGCGTAGTTTTTTGTGTACAGTTGTTTAGCTTTGCGATGTGTGGAGTAACGTAACTAACTGGGAAAAGATCAAAACCAATAAATATAGGAGAAAACACTCAGATAAGGGAAAACAAATTAACACTAAGTACAACTACAACTAATACGTGCATGATAATAGGTTCAAAACACAAATTAGCAAAAATTGAAGAAGACCTTGTTATTTCTTTGGAGGAAAATGCAATAAAACGTGTCAGGAAAACTAAAAGCTTTCATGGGATTCATTAGCCTATAGACGAAAAACTTGATTTTAAAGACCATGTAAAAACAATTCGCAAAGCAGCATTGCAAGGAATGGGAACATTACGACTATGCAAATCATTTGCTGCATTAGATACACTCCAAATCTTATAATTTGAAACAATTGTTCGGTAACGTTAAAAAGTAATTTGCAAAAACTTCAAAACAGGGCAGCAATTAAGAATCATAATGCGGGGAGTTGTGATATCCGGTCAAAACAAGTACTTGAAAAGTTAGGATGGAAAACCTTAGAAGCTAGATTAAGAGAAAACATACTCCCAAAATAAACATCTTGTAAACTCAAGATATGAGCTGTTAAAAAACAAGACACAATATTCAAGGTGATATTTCGACTATTTCAAAGTCATTGTCAGGTTTGACATGTAATATACTAATATTTATAGGCTACCGTGATTAAACAAATTTAAATAAAATGAAAATGAAATCAGTACGCAGAATATGCGTAGAATCGTGTAGTTTTGATCGAGTACATAGAATATGCGTACAATCGTTTAGTTTTGATCGAGTACACAGAATATCCGTAGAATCGTTTAGTTTTGATCGACTATACAGAATTTGCGTAGAATCGTTCAGTTTTGATCGAGTACATAGAATATGCGTACAATCGTTTAGTTTTGATCGAGTACACAGAATATCCGTAGAATCGTTTAGTTTTGATCGATTATACAGAATTTGCGTAGAATCGTTCAGTTTTGATCGCCAATGATCGAGTACACAGAATATCTGCGTACAGTCGTTTAACTTCGATTGATTAAACAGAATATGCGTACAGTCGTTTGTGATCGAGTACACGGAATATGTGTACAGTCGTTTAGTTTTGATCATGGCCCTTTAAATAATGAGATAAATAAGGAATTTAATCACGAATGTATAAAAATATGGCTGCAGTTCAAAAATGCCTGCAAACCTAAGAGATCCGCAAATTTGTAACATTTTTATGAAAGCATGGGTTTAAAAGTCTGCTGGTACCTTCACAACAAAAATATGTTGAAAAGTATATTTTCATGGCTAGAAGGGAGGGGTTCCCGCGGAACCACATGAATTTGGCTAAAGTTCGCTCGCAATTTTTTGCCTTGCGGTCAAAGCGGGTAATGTGTAAACCCTTACACATGCACTCTCCTCTGCTGAGGCGGTAGTCGGGCAGGTACACATGATCGTAGCACAGCTAAGTGTACAAACTCAAGATCTAGACTTCTAATCTAAGCCAAATCTACCGTAAATCTGATATAAAGCTAGCGACGTTTTTTTTAAATTTTGCATCTAATCTTAATCTGACATTATTAATCTATGATTTAATCTTTTACGAACCATTATATTCTCTTTTTAGTTTCACATAAAAGAATAAAAGAATATGGCGAAAATCCTTTTTGACATCAGATCTGCGGCCAAGGTAGAAAGAGTGTACGACGATTCGGACACTAAAGCTGATAGAGGTATTAGTGTTTTTACAGCCTCGATGGAGGATATTCCTGAAGGCTACTATATGATTGGCCAGGCTGCTGTCCGTCAAACCGGCGTCAAAGATGTACCCAAATCCTCCATAATCCTGGTGAAGCCTTCGGATCCCGACCTCATAAAGATTCCAGTAAATTACAGTAAGAAATGGAACGACAAAGGTTCCGAAGGGAAACTCGATGGTACATTTTGGAGAGTTATTGCGCCTGAAGGCTACGTGGCACTGGGAGATGTTGTTACTGACAACTACTCACAACCGCTGACTGCATTCACAAACAAGTTTGCCTGCATTAGACAAGATCTGTTGGTTTCGGGTGAACTAAACCCGCAAAGTTTATGGAATGATAAAGGATCGGGTGCAGATTTGTCAGGATCAGTTTGGGAAGTTGATGGTCATGGCCTTGCCGGATTATTCAAAGTTCAGGCTGGTTACGACATACCTCAGATACCTGTTTTTGTTCTTCCTGCCAGTGTAGCTAAAAAATAGTGAAACTTGTGACATTCAGTTTGATTACATACTGAAACTTTATTACTTAATTTAGATTGATGCATGCATGGTGATTTAGATTTCTGTACAACATATTGGTACATAATATTTTCATGAGAAATAAACCTTAAAATGGTTTTCGGTGCTTACATTGCATAATTTCAGCACAAAACATACTGGGAAAACCAGTAAAGATGGGCAGAGAAAGCGGTCGAATTCGTTTGACTAGGTGCAGTGTCATCATTCTCATGTGAAGGGTGAACTATCTCCCCGTTCAGCAGTGAGTGGACGCTGCTGGAAAAGTATACGTTTCTGGGCAGGCTCTGCATGTGTCAAGATTTTGTTTGCCTTTTTAAACCGCAAAACAGTCTAGTAGTTCTTCGACGTAGCCTTGTAAGATTTTAGTTTCAAGTTCGAGCAAGAAACCAAAAGAATTATTTTTGTTCTTGCATAACTAGCTTGAGCTGCTGTGTTCTTCACAGTCATTGCTCGTGAAGATTATGCCTGGCAAAAGGTGTCAGGCAGGTACTTATACAAAATAAGATATTTATAAACCAATTTAGTGGCTGTTAAGGCATAATATTTTCTGTCCCATTGAGGTCTACTATGAGGGAAGGTAAAAAAGTCGACACTCTGGGTACGATCTTTTTTGTGTCTTCATGGTTCAACCTACTGCATGCAGTTCGAATGAGGCGTGAAGTTGAAGCCGAACGATTTTCACTTTTCGAGAATGTTTGTGCGCTCCATGCATCTATTGTTGAACGATAGACATTATTGAACAGTTCAGTTATTTTTAGACACCCCTAGTCTTCGAACCGCGGAGCGTTTTTCGTATTGCTGGGGCGAGCGGCGAGCCTGTCAGGGAGTCCGTGGGCGGTCTCTGAATATTGGGAAATAGTAATTACATTTCTGTTTATATGTATATGCTTTTTTTTATTTTGGCCAATGTGTTTACTCTTTTTTATTTTGGCCAAACATTGGCCAAACATATTTTTGCCAAACAAACTTTTTTATTTTTGGCCAAACATAACAATTTCAATCTATATATGCATTTGTAAACGTGACGGAATTATTACGACTGATATATCATTGAAAATTCGTATACTAATTTGTTTGTTTATCAAAATATACGTTGAGGAAGTAAAAATTACGATAGTATTCCAGATAGACACACTGCATATACTTGTAAGCAAAAATACAAATTGCTAAAAATATTGCTTGTAAATTTGAGCGAAAGAAAAAATATTCGAAAGCCCAGTTGACCAGTAATCCACCGTTGTATCTTGTGTCGTGTATGCTAATAACACTGTGTCTATAATGCCTCTTTGTCTCTCGTTTACTCAACGAAAAACTCCAATGGCAAAGACTGATGTTCTTTGTGACAAAGAAACATCCTTTCTGATCTGACTTGATCAACAGGGATGTTTGTAATGATACGGACTCTTGAGATTAATTCTGACCGAATTTTCCCGTAAATGTCCTTGACAACGGTTTATTTATGATTATAGTATTTTCGCTATTCAAATGTTTGAAATATTAAAATATATATATAACTACCTGTCGTAATCAAAACAGTACCCGTGAGCAACAGCGGTTGTAAACGAAACCGAAAGTCAGGCAGCAACAATTAAGCTGAAGTCGTTTAATTGCCATACAAATATGAAAGTTCCATTTTAGTATCTCGTGAGTTGCTTTTGTCAAAGTGGCAGCTAAAATGGCCTTGTAGCTCGTGAATTAAGTCCTAGTCATAGACCCAAGGTGTGCTACGACCATAATTTCCGGCAATTCATATTAATGAGTTCTTGGAAAATTACTTATTCGTAAGAAAATATTTCAATACACAAAGCTACTCGACAGTAATATGGCGGGGGACGTTTTAGAAGTCAGCTTCTCTCTCGAAGATTTTTCCCTGAAGGAAAGAGGTAAAGAAAGACTCAAAGTTATCTCTCAAATCAAAGTGAAAATCTGTGCTCTCTTGAACACCAACGGCGGTTCTCTTGTTTTAAAAGCTGTTGATGCCTCAACGCAAAACAAGCTCCATGCCGACAATATCATACATCCGATCGAGGAATGGTTGTTGCAGTTCGTTGGCCTCTCCCGAACAGACAAAAACTTTAAGTGGATATCTGGAGTGGATACGGTCAAATTAAGAATAGCAGAGTTACCAAAATTGTGCTCTTTAAATACTAATTTGTTTCTGCCAGTCCAATCTTCAATAGAAATGTTACGTGAGCTAAATCGAATACGAGAGTTATTGTTCGAGCGCCGTTTTGTCGCCGAATTCACGGAATTGCAACATACAACGACTGGACAGTTTTACAAAGACCACGATAGTGGTCTTCAAGAATCAAATAGTGTCCAATTGAAAAACCTTGAGTCAAAGAAAACGGGGAGCATGAATTTAGCAAAGCGAATCATTGAATGTAAATTAACAAGTTACGTATCTGGCTTCGCTAATCACTCGGGTGGACGGATTTATTACGGGATTGACGACTGCGGCGTTGTTCGCGGAGAGACTTTGCGTGATCGGGAAGAAATTAAGGGGATAAAAACGAAAGTCAGAAACGCCATTCAAAAGATGAAGTGGCCAGTAAATTGCGAGCAACTGTGGCAAATAGATTTTGTTCCCGTTACGGGATCTGAAGACGAATTAACGTTTGTGATCGTTATATCAGTGTCACCATGCCCTGGTGGTGTTTTTATCAAGGAGCCAGAAAGCTATCATGTTGTAGCCGGGAAAGTGGAGAAGATCCCCTTCGACATATGGAAAGAGAGGGTAAGAACTTCGCACCCTGGCTTATCAGTGGAAATGAGTCTGAGTAAGAATTGGAGTTCAGAAAAAAGTAAAAATGTATGTATGAATGTAATTAAGCTATTAAAGCATTTTGACGAAATGGATGGATTTGAGCAGTTAATGGATACGTTACACAGTCAGGAAAGTCAACACATAAACGCTAACAGTATAATCTTCCTCCATCCCAATGCAGCAAAAGATCGTCATGGAAATCCTGAAAAGGTGGAAAAGCATCTTGCAAAACTTGCCGACATGATATCAACGAATAATAGCGAAGACTGTTGGATAACCATATTCGGCAAATTGTACTTAATGTCAGTGAAAAAACAATTATCTGGTAATTATGAAAGTTCGTGGGAAATCATCATGCCCGAAGCCTTTCAACAGTGTTTTGTTGTTCCATCTGGTCTCATACCTGCCGCTTTTTATGCACACGCTGCGACAGTCCTTCGTAAGCTCGTTGACAAAGACGTTTTCGACAGCTGTAGCCGAGAGGAAAAGTTCGACGCAGTCGTTTATATGTCTGATCTAGCGTTACAGCATCTACAGTACGGCAAGAAGGATGCCTACGAAGTTGTCAAAGAAGAACTTAGGCAAAAAATAAATATCGGGCTGGCATCCTTGTATTTGAAATCAGAAAGCACTGATTATTCGCAAGTGTCACAGTTTCACGTTAACCAGGCAGCGAAAAAAATACGTGAAGCTGAAACCTCGCTAAAGTTGCTTCAGAAAACTGAACGTTTTAAATTAAATCACTGTCGTCTCCTACTGGCCAAATCTGATCTTTGTCTGAGGCAATATCAACTGAAAGAAAAAGAATGTTTGGCGAACCTTGAGAAAACACGAGAAATAACACCCCTTGGCTGTAAAGGAATAATACAGAGTTGCGAACGTCGAGAAGCCATGGTGAGAAGTTGTGAATCGCATGAATGTCGCAATTAGATGCCCATGAAAAGACGGCAAAAGAGAGACAGAAAGTGCATGAATGACATGCCTAACTCTAGTCGTATGGACTGTATACATGATCCCGCTTGGCCGAGATTAAAAGAAAAATGCGGTATCGTCCGAAATGAGCATATAACATGATCCTGGTAATCGTGTTGTCATCCTAACAATAGCATGTGCTTGTTTGCATGGTTTCACAAAAGCCTATTTCAATACCTCAAAACCATCTCACACTTCGTTGAATCTTGGTATGTAAACAGTGACTTTGGCCAATAAACAATAAGCATGACAGCCCATTTCAAGACTATAGCACTTAATTTTTGCAGTGTAATTATAATGTCATTAATGAGGCTAATTTTATGGGGGGAGGTTGCACCTTTACACTACACTACTACCCGTTTAAACTACACACAATTTATTGGCACGGCACGGCTAAATGGGCACCCGTTTCGTTTGTGCTCGGCCTTTGTTTCGGTAGCCTGAACACTCGGGTTTATTTCCCATGAAATTAGGTACGGGTACCCATTTTAGCCGTGCCGCGCCAATAAATTGAGTGCAGCGTAAACGGGGCATTACGCACACGTTTGACCTATTTAAAACGCTTCTTTCTTTCTCCTATGTAAATATACCTTTGAATATGTTCCTACAGTATCCTACGGCTAAAAATTGAAACCGTATTTTGTGTCCCTGGTAAGGAACGCATCGGGTGCTATCCAATCAAGTGTCAACCATTGTGTCAACTGTCAATAGCGGCACTACATCTTGGGCGACCTGTTTCATGATCGTTGTTCCAAAGTTCATATCATATGCATCGACTTTTTATGCGAACTATCTGTTTATTCCCAAACAAATCAAAGATCTAGTTCAATCCCAACCAAATAATCGTTTAACTCCATGGCAGAAAAGCGAAGTAAGGAAATTGGTGTGATTTCTAAGGGATATCTTCTCTTGTATAACATCGTGCAAACTCTTGGGTGAGTGATTACGCAATCATTAGATATAGTTGAAAGACCAGTGCTATGTTTAATAATGTGTTGATGTTCATTTCAGTTAAATTTAATTTATTTCGCTTTGTTCCATAATTAAGTTGCATTGTTTGATATTCCTGCTGTGCTTCAACATCAATGCTGCTTTTGAATGATTGTTGTAAATTAATGTCTAGTTTCTACTGTCTATTAATAACTAGCATCAAATGTGGTATATAACAACTGCCTAAATTAGACAAAACACTTCTGGACGTTTCGACCTGAGGGCCTTCGTCAGGAGAGTTAGTATGGACCTACTAACTCTCCTGACGAAAGCCCTTAGGTCGAAACATCAAGTAGTGTTTTGTCTAATTTAGGCAGTTGTTATACCACATTTGATGCTAGTTGTTTGAAGACGCTGCCACACTGCTCCCTGGTTATATTGGGTCTATTAAAATATATAGAGATACCTCATCACAGCCTTTTTGGACCAATTATAAGCTCGTGCAGTGTAAGACCCCTTTCACTTCCTTGATATTTGTTATTCTGTCAGATGGATAAAGTTGTAGAGTTTTAGTTGTAGAGGTTTAAAGTTGTAGCTAATTTTACCCAGTCTTTGTTAGTGTTATTTCTCTCTTAAAGGGGGTGACCAAGCTTTGAGCATTATGCCAAATCCGAGATTTAAACACTTCACTAGCCATTATACTTTTCGCAAGTAGACCTGATGCACTGAACACCCATGTAGCCATCGACTGTATAGTGCATGTGCCTGTAAAATGCATTATATATAGTGCTTCCCAGTTCCCACTGCATTTATCTGCACTAGCTGAGACATGCCAGCCAAAATTTTATGCACCTTAATTAAAAAAACATTTTGCAACCACATTGTCATTGGCTTTCTGCAGACACAATTTCGGCAAGAGTTCCCAACCCTACAGTCTGCACCAGTGGGACAGACTGAAAAATGCAGACATTCTCCTGGCATTTTCCTCCAATATCATCTACCTCTTCCCAAAAATTGTTTCGATTAGTTGTGTAAACTTTCCTTCGGCCTAAAAACTCCACCAATGGTTATATATTAAATTTAACATTAGTACATTATGTACCTTAAAAGTATTGTTATACAGTATATTACATCTACCATCAAAGACTACTGGAAAATAATAGCCATACAAATTTTACTCATTTCGTACTATTTACATATGTGGCACAAAAATAACATCAAATTCTACTCATTTAATATTTGAAAAATTTGATGAAATTTGCATCAACTGTACAATATTTGTCCATTTTCTTCCTTTTAGTCTAATTTTTATCCCAATCTTGGGTATTAATTTGTCAATTCTCCTCGCAGGTGGTCGTACCTTCTCATAATCTGTTGTCAACATTTTATTTCACAAAATGCTGTAACGTCCAAAGGATTGTATCCCAAAGTTGAGCTGATGTTGAAGGTTTTTCAAACAGCAGCAATATTAGAGGTACATGTACCAGTATCAAATAAATTTTTATGCCTAAGCAAATTAATTAGCTTTTAAACTCAGATGAGCCCTACAGTATTTTAGTATTTTACTCTAATGCCAGATAATTTTATAAATGGAAGAGTACTGCCAGTTAATAAGTTAACAAACTGCTATCTGTCAGTATCTTGTGTTAACCCATTAGCTTGCAGTGCACTGACCAAAAGTGCCCTGCTGGTACTTTAGTATTTTCTTCTGTCTAATGTCAGATGATTTTACTCATCAGTGGAAGAGTAGTACTGTCAATTAGTGAGATAATTGTTTTCATAGTTATAACGAGGTAGCAGAAATTATTGCACAAATTAATTAGCAAAACTGTGCAAATTAGCAAATCTTAATGCTTATAGTTGGATCATATATGATTGGTATTTTGTTTTTTATTGTTTTGAATTTATTATTCTTTAGATCATTCATTGTGCAATTGGTAAGTAAATGCGTGTTTTTTTAATTCTTTTTTTAATATGGGTTATCTCACTCTGTCAATTCACTCCCCATAATTGTTCTTTTGGTAGTAAGTTTTCATATGATTCAGGTATTGTGCCATCATCGGCAATGACAACAGGAATGCAAGTCTTTTCTCGGCTATGCACAGTCTGGTTGTTCACAGTCCCAGACAAAGAGGTGGGATTTTGTAATGGTTTGACCGACCAAAATACAAATGATTATAGTTAATTGTTGATTGCTATTTTGTTTATAGTTAACAATATTCTAACAATAAATTACCTGCAACATCACCACACTGAGCTCTGTTGCACCATGCAAGCCTCCAACTCATGTTTTAGCTAGTAATTTTCTTGTGCTTTTTATGTGATTATGGTAACTTGAATTCAGCTGCCATTTTAGGTGGCAAACTAATTGTGATTTTTGTCCCCTTTACTTCTGTTACCAATAGGTCCAATACTTCTGTTTAATATTATACAGTATTTAGCCTTGGCTTGGGTGTAGGGATTAAGTCCAGTTTGTTCTGCATATTGGCTCTGCCCATAACAATGCAAGGCCCTCTGATGTAAAAGCTGCCTGAGATTTTTCATGCAAGCTCTGGTTCATATTTACTAAGAAGTGTATCGAACCTGGTGTTAGATATTTAGACAGCGCATCGTGTTTTAAAAACTATCAAAATGTAAACAAACCATTTGTTTACATACTGACTTGACTTTCACTTTAAATTGAGGCTAGATTATCCCTTGCATGGCTAGTTTTCATCTGGAGATAAAGATATTCCTACATTAGTCTAAGTCCTATTAATGCCATTTTAATAAAGTGTTTTAAAACTCCATTTTAGGTTCAAAATAATACGAGTATTTTGATGTATTTGACAGCATGGACCATCACAGAGATTATTCGATACTCATTTTATGCTTGTAGTTTGGTCAATTATTTGCCATATTTCTTGCAATGGTGTAGGTAAGTTACACACGAAAATTTTTAAAAATTAAAAAGTAATTTTTTAAACTGAGAATAAAACAGATTTTTACTAATTTCTTTCAAATGTGAAGTCATTGGTGTTTTACCGTCTCATTACAGGTACACGTTCTTCATAATTTTGTATCCAATTGGCGTTACGGTTAGTAAACAACTCAGTATTCATTATTATTTGTATTTTTCCGTGTGTCATATTTGCCCTTGCAAAAAATACCAAAAATAGAGTCTATAAGTGAATCTTTGATTTGAAGAACTACTTTTAAGGTAATATTTACAAAATGACATGTACTGTATTGGAACGCAATTTTTTAGGCGTATATGTTTGAAAGGGTATATAGTATATGTCAACTTGGCCATTCTATATAGGCCTTTTTAAGACCTACTTTTAGTTGACTATTATCATTCTGACGAATGGAAACGAGTGCCTACACACAAACGTGCTGATTTCCTTAAATGCTAAATATGAAATATAACGTTTTTACGCGTGTTTATACGCGTTCACATACGCCAGGCTAAGAATAGAATACAACAAGTCGCATGTTGTAAATGGCGTTTTAGGATTCGCATCCCGTCCTTGAAACCCTTAAAAACGCTTGAAAATCACTTGAGATTTGACAATGGATCTTAGGTGCATGCACTTGAAAAGTCCTTGAGAAATCCTAAATGAAGGAAATTGCTTGGAAATAAAGCAATAACCATAACATCCAAACACACGTACAGCATGATCTGTTGGCTCCAGTTTCGCTTAATAACAGAAATGGTCTCACTAATTCCAGACTTTCAGAGCATAGTGTAATATTTTTGTATTTACATATCAGCATAACTCCATAAGAAAAAATCCTTTTAAATGTCAAGAACCCTGTCCTTGAAAAGTCTTTAAAGAATCTTGCTTTTAATTTCACTGAGCGCGGAATCCAGTGTTTGCCAATTTGCACTGTGGAGTTTAACATATAAACTCATTTTTCATCTAGCAATTTTCCCATTTATAGTGATTTTGACAATCGAACACATACAGTAGTTTAGATTTTGAATTCAGCAAATGAAATTCGATGCTTAAACGTGACTGTAGTTACATAGAGGCAGAGCTCCTCTGCTATTTACCAGCGACAACCAAGGGTCCTGTGTACCTGATGATGAACACATTTTTTTCACCGAGATTGTATTTCTTCATCGAATTTCAAAGCTGTCGTTTTATTTTGTGTTGTACTGCTTTTCTAAGCGGGAAAACGACGTCTCATCTGAATCGAGATGCATAATTTCCAACCGTATAGGGTGAAATGCTTACGGTCATCGCTGCCATACCGTTTGTCAAGAAGACTGGTATCTACTCCATGTCTCTGCCAAATGCAATGAACATCTCGTTTTCGTTCTTATATTTTCTTTATTTTTGTCTTCTCATATATTTGCCAGGTTGGTAGAAATATTTTTTTATTCCATGTAAAATAATGCGTTAATTAGTTAGTTGATTGGTCCGTTACTTAATTAGTAGATTAATTGTAGTGGACTAATTAGTTTGTTGTTAGTACGTTTTTTCTATTGTTAGCAAGTTAGTTAGTTTATAGTCTGTTAGTTTGCTACTAATTTGTTTGCAGGTCAGTGGATCACTTAGTTTTTCGGTCAGTTTGGAAGAAAACGAGACTTATGATATCGTACACGTGTGAACTACAATCCCGGACATAGTTAATGTGGGCAGGAAAAATTATTAGCAATATTTTAGTTAAATCCTGAAAATCTGGCATGTGCGTATATGCACACTCCCCTCTCCACCGTCTCAATGATGGTTTCTAGTATACTCATCTCTCAATTGTGCCAAGGAACAGCAACATCAATTTTTTTGGGGGTGGAAGGGGTGATTGATTTATGATTTATGACCATGAAATTTTATTTTCTGCAATTAAAGCCATTACTAGGTCACCTGACCAAATAGTCTCTGATTGTAGCAAACTTTGAAAGTGTTGTAAATAGCACTCAATAGTAACATTAACATTATTGACATTAACATAAAGTATTGTTGTATATTAATCGCGGGCTCCTTTGTGTTCGTTCGCAAAACGTTTTGGTTGTCTGTTAAAATATAAATTTTACTCGAAGTGTTTTTTCTTTTTTGGTCTATAAATTTATCTCAAATTGAACAGGTTATGGGCCCAGATACTCTATGAACTGCGTCGTTTCAATCGAAGAAACGTTTGCTGTATTAAACGTTTAAAATGTCACAAGAAAACAGACTAGTTATCGACAAACTAGAGGGAGTAAAAAATTGGCAGGTATGGAAATATCAAATGCAAGCTATACTGGAAGCAAAAGAGTTGTGGGGCCACGTTGATGGGACGGCAGTTAATCCAGCTTCATCAGAAAGCAGTCCGTCCAGTTCATCGGCTCAACCGGCTTTCGAAAAAGCTCAGAGAAAGACCAAAGCCCTACTTGTCACAAGTATAAATTCAGATCTCGTACATCTGATTACTGAATGTCAAACGCCAAAGGAAATCTGGGACAAACTGAAGGAACGCTTTGAAAGAAACACGGTAGCAAATAAATTGTTTTTAAAGCAGAAATTCTTTTCTTTAAAAATGAAAGATTCTGATTCCCTCGATCAACATCTACGTCGCATGAAGGAAATTACTGATCAACTAGCAGCAATCAATGCACCCATTCCTGAAGATGAACATATCGTTGCTCTGTCACTTAGCCTTCCACGAACATATAACGCTCTAATAACTGCATTGACTGCAAAAGGTGATGAGCTTAGCCTTGCTCAAGTGCATCAAGCACTCAGGAGTGAAGAAGAAAAGCGTGGTCTATACAAGAGCAAAGATGGTGCGAGTCGTGTTGACAAGGGTGAGCATGCGTTGCAGCACGTACAAAATGGGCAGAAAGTCTGTCAAATGTTTTGGATGTGGGGAAGAAAATCATGTGATAAGAAACTGTCCAAAAAGGAAGAAAGGGCAGCATGAATGTCGGAATAAATCTGGAAATTCTACTAAGTATAAAGCAACTCAAGCTGATGCTGATGGGCAAAAGAACGAGGACTCTGGCAATGTATTCATGGTAGGAATGATTGCAGCTGAAGGGGACGATTGTTGGATAATTGACTCCGGTGCTTCACAGCACATGACTGCTAATCGTGACTTGTTGGTAAATTATCATGAGTTCCCAAATCCAGAACCTGTGGCTCTTGGAGACGGTCGTTCTGTCAATGCGTATGGATATGGTCAAGTTGACATCACCATGATACTTGGAAAGAAAGAGAAAGATCAAAAGAAATCAGTTCTATTGAAGGTGCTTTATGTTCCAAAATTGGCTACTAATCTTTTCAGTGCACGAGCAGCTGCATCCAATGGGAAAGTTGTACAATTTGGGCATACCCTATGTTGGATCAAAGATTCTGAGGGACAAGTTGTAGCACGTGGTCGACTGGTTGGGAACATGTACCGACTGGACTGCAAAGTTGATAAATTGGGAAATCAAGCGTCAATTGCAAATGAAAATTGCACCAAATTGGATCTATGGCACCAGAGAATGGCACATTTGAATGTTGGCCAAATGAAAACCATGGTTTCAAAGGAAATCATCACAGGTACAGACATACCAGGAACTGGCAAGTTAAATTTTTGTGAAGCTTGTGCAGAAGGAAAGGCCCACAGAGCGCCATATAAACCAGTGGGAGAGATTCAATCAACAAGAAGATTAGAATTGGTCCACAGTGATGTTGCCGGCCCAATGAAAACTGAAAGTTTCGGAGGAGCAAAGTACTTCGTCACGTTTATAGATGATTACTCAAGATGTGTCACTGTCTATCCGATAAAGCACAAGTCTGAAGTACTCGAGAAATTCAAGGAGTGGGAGGCAGTAGTCACCAACCAAGCAGATTGTAAGATTAAGACACTTCGGACAGATAATGGTGGCGAGTATACATCCACAGAGTTTGCAGATTTTCTAAAGGAGAAAGGAATTCGCCATGAGACCACAGTACCGCATTCACCTCAGCAGAACGGAGTAGCTGAGCGCATGAATCGGACACTTCAAGAAGCAGCTCTCTCTATGATTCTGCATGCTGGACTGTCCAAAGCCTTCTGGGCAGAAGCAGTTTGCAATGCAGCCTATGTTAGAAACCGAGTGATCACGACTGCAACTGCGGTAACCCCTTACGAAAGATGGTATGCAAAGAAGCCTGATCTGTCGAATCTTCGTGTCTTCGGGTGTTCTGCTTACGCTCATGTTCCGGATGCTTCTCGCCAGAAGCTTGATCAAAAGGCAATCAAGATGAGATTCGTGGGCTACAGCCTTACACAGAAAGGATACAGGCTATATGATGAGAATCGACAAAGAATCTTTGTTCGCAGAGATGTTACTTTTAATGAAACAGACTTTGGGTCTACAAAAGTCCAAATGAAGTGCGATGAAGATAGCACAGGATGTGTCGAAGACGAAGTGGAGTCAAAAGGCGAGGATGAGAAAACCGTGCAAGGTCAGCAAGATCTCCAAAAGGAACCTCGACGCTCAGAACGAGAAAGAAATCCACCGATTTACTACCACGATGAGTATGCTGGAGTCACCACGGCCAAGTATGCAGCACTTTATGCAGCTGAAATCGAAGAACCAGAAACGTTAAAGGACGCTCTTGACAGTGAGTATGCAACAGAATGGAAAGCAGCTGCAGATGCTGAGTACCAGTCTCTGGTAGAGAATGAGACTTGGGAACTAGTTGAACTGCCAGCTGGACGCAAAACTATCAGTTGCAAGTGGGTTTTCAAAGTAAAGCACGATGAAACCGGAAAAGTAGAGAGATTTAAAGGTCGTTTAGTAGCTAAAGGTTTCCTACAGAAATATGGAATTGACTACGATGAAACTTACTCTCCAGTAGTTCGCTTCTCGTCAATTCGCGCTCTTCTGGCTTTCGGTATTTCTCAGCAAATGCTAATCCATCAAATGGATGTAGTGACAGCATTCTTAAATGGTACCCTTGATGAAGAAATATACATGCAACAGCCCGAAGGATATGTCCAACCAGGAAAGGAAGAGCTGGTGTGTCGCCTCAACAAATCACTTTATGGCCTGAAGCAAAGCTCACGCTGTTGGAACAACGTCTTCAAAGAATTTATGTTGTCATTGGGATTTGTTCAAAGCACCGCAGACTCTTGTGTATTCATTCGCGTAATCGATGATAAGCTGGCGTTTGTCACGGTACACGTTGACGATCTCATACTCCTGACGCAAAGTGAAGAAGAGATGATCGATCTCAAAACAAGCCTATCAAATCACTTCAAGATGAAAGACATGGGCATACTCCATTATTGCCTAGGAGTCAGTGCAATAATGAAGGACGGTGTTGTACAACTCAATCAGGAACAATATATCGCAAAGATTCTTCGAAAGTACAAATTAGAGAATTGCAAACCAGTGTCAACCCCAATGGATTTAAATGTCAAACTAGTCAAAGAGGATGGATATAGCAAACCAGTAAACGCTATTCAGTATCAATCAATGGTGGGGAGTCTTCTATACGCAGCAATAGCCACTCGTCCAGATATAGCCCACGCAGTGGCAGCGTTGGCAAAATTCAACTCATCACCGACCGAGGCACATCTAACAGCTGTTAAACGCGTTTTTCGGTATTTGAAGGGAACTGCTCAGCTACAGTTGCAGTACCAAGAAATCGACACTCGTGTAGAAGGATATTCGGATGCAGACTGGGCTTCGGATTCAGATGACCGACGATCAACCTCTGGAAACGTATTTATGATGTCCGGTGGCGCAATCAGTTGGACTAGCAAAAAGCAACCAACAGTGGCTCTTTCGACTTCCGAATCCGAATACATTGCGTTATGTTTTGCGACCCAGGAAGCAGTATGGCTGCGACAATTGATGCAAGACCTAAAGATGAATTGTACCACAGCCACAGTCATACACGAAGATAATCAGGGCGCTATCGCCATGTCCAGAAATCCAGTGTTACACAAGCGGACGAAACACATTGATATCAAATACCATTTCGTTCGAGAGAAAATTGAAGACGGAACAATCGAGTTGAAATACTGTCCAACTAATGAAATGGTGGCAGACATTTTCACAAAGCCACTACCCAAAGGACAATTTGAATATCTAAGAGGCAAGCTTGGACTTGTATAAACTTTTAAAATGACATATTGAGTGAGTGGGAGTGTTGTAAATAGCACTCAATAGTAACATTAACATTATTGACATTAACATAAAGTATTGTTGTATATTAATCGCGGGCTCCTTTGTGTTCGTTCGCAAAACGTTTTGGTTGTCTGTTAAAATATAAATTTTACTCGAAGTGTTTTTTCTTTTTTGGTCTATAAATTTATCTCAAATTGAACAGAAAGTAATTCTTGTTGTCTCTCTAGCCTTTCTAATGCTGTATCTCTACATGTTTCGTCAAAGAAAGAAGGTCCTTGGATCAAGCAGACTGACCTCGACAAAAGTTGACTAATATTGCATACACATTACATTCCTTTCTTTTGAGTTTGATATCTTTTATTGAAAATTAGTTCTTATAAGTAAAAACGGTTTTAAAAACCTCGAAGCGATTTAAAGTAAATTATACATTATCAGACACTATTATACATGATTTTAATGCTTTCCGTCATGTTGCCATGGGAACAGTGACGTCTCAACCCTGCGTGAGGCGAAATTTTGTTGTGTGTTCGGGGCGCAGGCGAACGTTTTGCTTGTGATAAATGGCGCGATTGCGCCCTGGGGCGGGTTGTTCATAGCTAGGTTAGCGTTAACCCTGGGTTAAATTTAACTCAGCTCTTTTGGTTTATATGCTTCTGCACTGCTGTTTGTTTCAATACTTGGCAAAATAAGACTTTTATTCATCCACAAAATATTTATGAGAGAACATGTTCAACTGCATAACCGAGCGATTAAAAATACTGATGTAAAAATTTGAGTTGACCCTGGGTTAAGCTAACCCGCTTTTGAACAACCCGCCCCTGCTGAAGTCTAAAGGCTGCATTCCACTTACGCGTTTTTCATACGCACGTACACGCACGTAAAAGTCTGAATCCTTATACATGTTACCTTTGAAAAAACGAAGTGAATAAATCGAAGGAACTTAGTTTTCTGCATATTTTAGTATGCATTAGTTGACCTAGATGTTAAATAATAAAAATTTAAAAGCGTTTAAAATTTTCCGTACGTGTACGTGCGTATAAAAAACGCGTAAGTGGAAAGCAGCCTTAACGAAAGCCCCGGTTAACTCAAACCCGAGCCGAACCCTGGGTTTGTTTACATTAGTGTTAACCCGCGCTCGACCCAGGGCGAACCCACCTTCAAAGTAGGGTTCAAACTAACCTGGATTAAGCGAGGTTAACCAGACTAGTTTGCGTAGTATAAACGGGACTTTATGCAATTTATATTGTTATAAGACTTTTTTACACCCAGAAGGAGTATAGACTATCAAACATATCATTCAGGCAGATTACATGAATAAGTACGCTAATAGTTCCAATTGTCCACCCAGTATGGTTTAAAGTTAAGTAATTATTGTGAAATTCAACCGATTTTACACGTCATCGTAGAAAAACAAAATAAATATTTTGTATAATCTATAATTATGACCATACAACTTCCACTCGGAAATGTTCGCTCGAATTTCACTGAACGATAACTTAAGCCGGTTTTCCCCAGCGATATTCTTTTGTATTTGGGCAATTTGTTCCAGATGGTTGCAGTTGACAATAAAAAGTAAAATTTCGGCCTAAAGCCAGTTTTCCACTAGCAATATTTTTCGCGCGAAGCGGCTTTATTTTTTTGTATTTGAGCAATTTGTTCCAGATGGTTGCAGTTGAGAGCTCTGAAACAAAAGTAAAATGTCGCTTCGCGCGAAAATAAACGCTAGTGGAAAACCGGCTTAAAAGGCTGTTTTCGAACCATGGATAATGAGATGATAAATCTCAATAACTTCTCATTATCTATTGTTCGAATTGCATTCCACGCGACGAAAATAACCCGAGCAAGCACCATGCAGTAGACAGTTCAGATTAGTGAGATCATTCAAGCAAGACTTCCCGATTTGCAGGCGAAGGGATTCCAAAGTCGTTGCCGTTAGCAGTTTGTATTCACCTTAAAGGAATTTGTGGACGTTTAAAGCAACCGTTCGACAAGGGATGGATGGATATTGGTAACACATTGAGATAAGTTTACAGTCGGTTGTTTGCTTACACTTTGTATACAGCTGTTATGGACAGCCAGTTTTTGATATAGCACGAAAGTTATATTTCAAATCGTTCAAAAGTCGTCTTTATTTTGGTAGAGTTTAGTGTTCGCAAAGTACACTCTCCCTTTGTTAATTGCTGGCTACACATCCTGTAGTATTTTCACATCAGGAAAATCCCGCGTGTGATACAAACACTGATGAGTGTTTATATAATCACACTTTCATCCCGTCTAAGCCGGGTAAACGGGATCATATAAACAGACCCTAACTTTGATAATGTTGTGATAATCTTCATAATTACTGAAGGTAGCAAATTTTAACATGCCTGGGGCACATAGCTCTCAGAGTTAATTAAAAGTAAACAAACGTATGATAAGTGTGGGATTCAAATAAGGTTGTAGCCTGTGAATTACTTAGCGCTGTGACTACAATTCCATGCAAAGCAAGTCAAAATAGGACGTCGCCTCAACTTTACGGAGCTACTGCGAGAAACTAAATGAAATAAAACTATCATTTTTGCCCATGTTCTTAACTATGTGACAAACAAAATATGGCCTTTTTGATTAAAGGCAAAACGGCAATATGTTAATTTGTATGAAAACAAACCATTCCTGCTGCGGGTTCACTGGAATGCTGAGCCAGCTTCGCTTTCGCAAACCCGGAGCCACGATGTCATCCTTCAGCAGACTTCTTCCCTTGTAGGATCGCAAGCCCTGTTTAGCAAATTGCCTGCAAATTGATTTCAAAGACGGCGGCCAAATAATTCTGTGAGGCAACTACCAGTTATCGTTTCAGCTTTTATAGAGTTCACTGAGATTGGATAGATGTCACTCTCTGACAGAGTCACGCCTCAGTAGTGTGACAGCCTGTGATCCCTATAGTTTAGTCTGTTCACAAGCTAGCAACAAGATTTGTTCGCACTTCTTGTCCCAAGCTGTTGACAAGATGGAACAACTTGTTAACAACTTGTAACAAACTTGTTGAATCAAAAGACTTGCTACAAGGCTGTTCCAAAAAGTATGGTACAAACATGATGTGTCAATATTGCTACAATATTTTGCTGTCAAGTTCGTAGCAATGTTGTTGTATCATATCTGTATAGACTTGTCAGAACAATCTCGAAACAAGTCTGATAACGCCATCGGACTTGCTACAAGCTGTTAGCAGCTTGTCCCAAACATGTTACAACCAATTGGAGCGAAGAGTGCGACTTGTTACACTTGTGCGTTTTTACGCGGGTAGATGACGAAATGACATACCCACCGTATATCAGCTTATATACAGTGAGTAGGAAAAATAGAATAGCCGACAGTTTTGCTCAGGAGTGATGAAGAAGATCAGCTCGCACATGACTCAAGCACGTACAAGCATGTAGTAGTATAATTGGTAAATATTAGGGGGAAATTTATAGTCCAACATAATGTCTGATTGTTGCTATCATTAAGAGATGGTATTTCCTAGGACGCCCGTAAAATCAATCACATAAACGGGGACTTCTAGAACTAGACGCGTACGTATGAATAATATCAATATTGAAAAAAATTAAAGAAATGTTCAGATCAAATCGCAAACCTTTTTCTGATCAATTATGGTACAAGCTCTAGAGATGATAAATCGTGCATTTTATTCGCAGCTTAAATGTTTACAAAATATTTTAATAAGTAGTGATTTACTCGTATTAGCCCTGGACTTATAAGAATATTATTACGTAGTTGGAAAGAACACTAAGCATAATTTCAAAGCTCTGTGAACGTTCGCAGTTCAATGTTCTGTGACTATAAGTTTCTAAATTACTTTTAGTTTGATTTCATTAACCATCACGTTACAACACAGTCGTTATATGACCTCCAACCCCTGTCTAGCATTCTTAAACCTTCTTTTGCACTTCACACAATCCATTAGAATAACTGCATGTGTAGAGTGCCAGCGAACAAAAAAAGTGATATAGTGAGTTAAATACATGAAATATATACGGCAAGTTATACTTTTAAAGATAATGTACTGATAAAGGATCACAGATAAATGTTCTACTTAATGATGCGGTATATGTTAAAAATACTGAAAGTAAGGATACTGTTGGCTTAGTTTCGTTTACTTTTGAGGAGGTGGCACCTCTTCGATTACAATGCGAGATACAGAAAGATAACCAGTATTACCATTTCCAAGAGTCTTAACCTCACACTTGCCTATCCAGAATCCAACACGTACATGACCTTTAGGGACCTGGTCACAGAAGCCTTCAATATGGCGCGAACGATGAGGGTTGACTTGAGTTGATGCAACGTAAACAACCCCTTCAATTGTCGCTGGTTTTGTACATTCTGCGCCGTCAAATGTAAAATACCATCGATTGCAGACATTACTGCCAAGAGATCGGAGTGTTCCTTCGTAAAATACACGAAGCGAGGTGTTGCTATATTTCTTGTTGAAAATACAGTTCTAAATTATGAAGAACAAAGGAATGATCTCAAATAGATGTAATAAATACTACAGGGTTACCTATCTCAGAAGAATTTTGTGTGCTATGCAAGTTAACGTCTCTTGACTGACGCCCTCGGAGTTACGTCTCTTACGAGCTAAGCCATGAAAATTCTCTATATAGGTTTGTCCACCAGATGCCCGGCAACTTTGGAGCAACTTTTAGCATTATTGACAAGTTGTATCATTCCGGGAAACTTTTTCCTATCCAGCAACTGGTTTTGTCCTATATTCGACGATATTCTAAAGTCTTCTCCGAATAAAAGCTTTACGACGCTGTCTTTTCAAAATGGCTTGTTTTAGAGACATTAGCTTGGTATATAGATTTTTTTAGTGTTTTTGTAAAAATTTGTGGGAAACATTTTAAAGCACCACGTTAATTAAACATGTATTTAAAATATCAGTAAAGGAGATTCATTATAGTAAAAAGCAAATTCCGAACAAACAAGACATCTTGAGAATAAAAATATAATTCAAACAAGACACAGATTGAGACTGTAAATTTTCGACTTTATTACAAAGTCATCTTCAGACAGAATGAAATACAATACTTTACAACGCATATATATACAACACAGAGAGAGAGCGCACGTGTCAATCCAGCATGTAGGCGGAAGGCCGGTAAACCAAGCAGAGCGAAACATGATAAGGTTGTGAATAAAACTAAATATGTATGCTATATTTACAACAATATGTTAGATAGATTTTTACTTTACTTTCTTAAATTGTCGGCTGGTCATGGTTTTTGAGATTCATTATGTTCCATTAATACCTGTATCAAGCCATTCTCTTTTAAATCCTCCCTCTTCCAAACACATTGTTTCCAGTTTAAATCTGACGTATACGCACTCGCTCCAGGCTTCCCGGGCTCTCCTTTTGGTCCAGGGGGGCCAGCTGGCCCAGGCCCGGCATTTCGACCGGGACTCCCTGGAGCACCAGGAATACCTGGTATACCTGGAGAACCACAAGTCGTCTGCGAATAATAATATTAAAATAATATTAAGGTGATCTTATACATTAAAGTCGTGTATTTCAAAATACGAGAAATGTAATCTTTCCCATGAACCCCCTTATTTATATCCTGAGACTAAATTCTTCGAATTTCAAGAAATTTGGCTATATCTAGTAAGTCTTAGAAAGGAGGAATTTTAGTAGGTCTTGTAGAAGCACAAACTGCACCTTAAAAAAGTCGAAACATTTTTGCAAAAAAAAATTTTGCAGTTTATTTCAAATGCATATTGCTCTTGTGATGATAAAAATATATATATAGCTAATTAACATAACTTTTCACGGAAGTTAGTTAATGACTTTGAAACTAAACATGACAGCAAGTACTGTGATATTGGGAATACGTGTATGTAATTGCCTACAATGTAGTTCCACATCCTACAGCTACAAATGATAGAAGAGAACATATGTAGATAGTGACTAATTTAATACAAAACTCACACTCGCAGAAATAATAACATTTATCGGTTCCTTTAGCTACGACGTTATCAAATACCTTACGAGATTGTTCGAAAACTTCCTGTTTTTTGACTAACCAGAATAGCTCAAAAGAAGGTCAAATTTGATTGGACAATGAAATAAACGACTTCCTGTTTTAATTGGTTAATAATATATAGACTGAAATGAAACGTGCATGGCTACGGAAGAGAGTGTTTAATAACGGCGAGTTTTTCAATTAGTCGCGAGATACTGGTGTCAACACAGGCATCTGGATTTGTAGCATTTTTGCCTTTGATGACTTCTTCGACTATATCGAATATTCTTAAAATTGAATGCCATTGCAGGGGACTGAAATTAACGTATTATGGAATTCGTTCATGAATGTTATATGTCCTTCTATTGTTTTTCACCGAAATATTTAGCTAGGTTAAAGGCATATGGGTGCACTGTATCAAGAACGAGTAATCCAACTGATATACAAATCCTAGAGCATGGAACAATTAAATATTTTAACGCAGTTTGAAATTATCATATCCGGTTGTAAAAATGTCTCGTCTCTAAACAATATTTTACCTTTCCTTTATCCTGACTGGCACCTTTGACTAACACCATCTCCGCAAAACAGGCACAAAACAGGTAAATCCAAAATCTGCAAAACATCGCTAACAATATTCGACGAAGGTTCTTAATTCCTGCAATTAAAACGTATACGAGTGAATTTTTCGAATTTTACTCAAATTTTATAATGGCTTGAGTTGTGACTCATTTCCTACCTGGTTTCTTGAATGAAATGAAATGTATAGTCTGTAAACTTCAACCGTCAACAATCATCGACAAACGCTTGACTCTACTGATTGATAAACTTGGAATAGCTTTGCATTTAATAGCATCGATAAAATCAAGACAAAGAAACATCAATTAAAGCAACATCAATTATATCTGAACAATGTTTCGTTTCAGCTCCGAATTGATCCGGCTTAGTGGGTGACATAGTCGCAGTATAGAAAGTTAACAACACAAGAAATACCCAAGCTTGCTGCTAGTGCATGTAATCAAAATGAGCCTATAATTTTAAGTAATAACTAATAATGTCAAATTGTCAAAATGATGTTCGAGAGTTCTTAACACAGGTTCATACAAGGTTCATACAAACCACTCAGATACAAACAGATATGCCCAATTTGTTTTTATTAAATAAAAAATTCAAAAAGGTCTTTTTTGTTTGTCAAATTGACTATTGTTAAGAAATTAGCCAAAAATGAAAGTTTTATTTCATTTAGTTTGCTCGCAGTAGCTCCGTTAAATTTGTTATTATTGCGAAAGCAGCTCAAATTGACGAACGCCATATTTTTAGGTCCAATTCATTGCCGCTTTTTCTCGGCGAAATGCGAAATATTTCACTGACCTATTTTTTTGAAATTTCGACCACTTGAATGAATTAATTTTGCTTGATTGCTCACAATTCGAATGACGCATGCAAAATATTTCACATTTCGCTTAAAACTTTGGCCCATCGATTCCGTGCTTTAAGTACGCTATATATCACTGAATTTTTGTTCAACTTTTTGGACTACTGTGGTAACCCGGTCTAGGTTTCGCGATTATTTGCGTGGCAGACTTCCGCGTGGACAGTCGCATCTGTCCACTGTCTGCACTGTGTCCACTCCCAGGGTGCATTCGGTGTAGACAAATCGGAATATCTTCGGCGTAGAGTTAGGGTATCCTTGGCGTACTGGCGTAAAATCAACTTTCCTTGGCGTAGTGGCGTACACTGTTTTTAACTTGTCGGCGCATAAATACCGGATAAACACACCAAACTTTGTAATTCAAAGGTCCACATACACACCGACTTCAACTTCATGCATTTAAGTATTTTAACGACAACAAAGGCATTTAACTTCTTAAAAATGGTCCTCTAAACGTGTAGCATTTTTTGACTCACGAGTCGAACGTCCTGGCGAGTCTGCGATCGGCGTAACGTCCTGGAGTGGGTAATTGTCGTAAGTATGGCCCAGGGTGAAGTTGGCGTAATGTTAAGATTGCTTTGGCGTATCTTCGGCGTGTGATATACACCGAATGCACCCTGGGTCCACTCACACTGTGCATGTTAATATAGCTCAGTGCTCAATGCAGCGAGTGTCTGCTTGAACCAGTAAACTGTAATTAAATAACATTTAATTCTTAGAGTTCACTGGCTTAAACTATTAGACATAAGCCCGTAGTTTGACGCACAGGCTCAGAAAGAAGCAGAGCAAAGGCTGCGGCAAAGCTAAAATTGACGTTTAACTGATTTAAGTTAGCATAGCTGTCTTACTATAGTCTTGCAAAAACACCGCTGCTAAGCAAAACGGGTTGGTCTTTTGTATAAATTTTGCTTGGCTTGACTTCGATAATTTGGTCAGCTTTTGGGCATTCTTGGAATTATGCCCTTATAGTTTTATACTTCAGTTTTGAGCTAATATCTTATAGTTGGTACTATATATTTCACATGCATCTTTAGCTGAAATATCCGTAGTTTCCTTAATTTTTCTCACTTTATCACTTCAAATTGCCTTTTTAATGGTGCCTGCATATCCCAATTTCTCCCAAGTCTCAGGCTACGAGATTTAATAGCAAATATAGGAAGTTTACGATTTCGCTAAAGCGTAGTCACCGTCGCCAAGGTCAGACCGACACCGCAGAAATTGGTGTTTAAGACGTTTCAACCTGAAAATCTAATCGCTGGTTCACAATTGTGCATTTCTGTATCGCCCTATCAAAGAGAAACCTTTTGAATATCTTAAAAAAGTTCAATTTTTCTTCTGAATACGCATTCTGCAATCTTTTGACAGCTCATCATACACATCTGACCGCTGTGAAATGGCCATTTTGAGGCTTAAAGTATACACAAGGTTATTAATTCAGACGATTCGTTTTTACCGTGAGCAAGCTTCAAATCTTTTGTGCAAGACATATTTTCTTGAATATTTATAAATCTTTTTCCTCACCAAGTTTGAAGTCTAAGTATCGAGAATTGCGGCTAAGCCTATACCAATTTCCGCGGTGTCGGTCAGACCTGGGTTAATGTTCTTTCACTTCCTAAACAACACTTCATATAGCTCAACAATAGGGTTCACCACTTCCAGAGGGATTTTCCCTCATTCCAATGTATGGGAAATCCCCACGACGCTTTCCTGGTATAAACGACATTCCTTTAAAACGCGTAAACGCGCGCATTCGGAGTTTTGCTTGTCTTGCCATGGAAATACTATTGAGCTTTGAGCTTACACGCTTCTGCCAATTAACATTTCTGCCAAATTGTATTTGAAAATTGTGAATTGAATTTCCGAGTATAATCAATGACGAGAATTTCATGTAATTAATTACACATATATATATATATATATATATATATATATATATATATATATATATATATATATATATATATATATATATATTTACATACATTATTTATTTAAGTGTCGGGCCAGTTGTTCAAAAGCCGGTTAGCTTAACCCTAGGTTAAACTGAGAGCTTAACTCAAATTTTCACATCAATTTTTTTAATCGCTCGTTTATGAAGATGAATGCGTTTTTTCATAAATATTTGGCGGATCAATAGAAGTCTTACTTTTTAAAGTCTTGAAACAAACAGCTGTGCAGAAGCACATAAGCCAAAACAGTGGAGTAAAATTTAACCCAGGGTTAACGCTAACCTAGCTTTGAACAACTGGCCCATGCAAAGTATTTAGCTATTGAACTAATTGAAATCATATATAATTGTCGTATGGTATATGATAATTGTATGTAAAGCCGCGTTTACACTTCAGGCTAGACCTAGCCTGCATGGACCAGGTCTAGGACAAGTCTAGGTAATATGTGCCATGCACGTTCACACTGTCTTCCTTGTTGCTCATATCGGATAGCTAAAATATTTGACAAAATACTTGCAAAAAGACCCAAAACACGCCGAAAATTGGTATACAAATCATACTATTAAGTTCAAAATTTGTCAGGACTAGGTAAAGCCTGTTCACATTACCAAAATCGTGCCCCACCATCTTAGCTCTGCGGGTCCAGGCCAGGTCAAAGCACGTAGTGTATGGTAAGTTGATAATATAAGTGATTATATAAGTGATTGTTTATGTAATAATATTAATACTATAGTCAAAAGTGTGCAAATTCTTCTATCGTTTTTTTATTCCTTTTAGAGTTATTTATAATTTAGCAGGGATATAGAACTTTGTATAGCCTTCATTTCCCAAGGGGTTTCCCTTCTGTATAAAGGGAGTTCCCGAAATTTCCTTCCAGAGTCTTGAAAGTTCTTCACCATCTTTATTATATTAGGATAGCAATATATAGATTGTAAGATAGTGCCATTAGTGACATGTAAGATTTTTTTCATAATATTTACACCTTTATACCTTTACATATTATTTAATTTACCCAGGAAACATGAATTTACAATATCGGGGCTTTCCCATTTAAAAAGGTTTTTTCCCGCATTCCCATCTTAAAACGTATTAAAACGCCAGTCATTCAGAATACGAGCTTGGCTTTAATGCATGGATAGCCTCTCGCAGGTCACATCTACGTCTTTAGTTTGAAAAAAGTATCGTTATACTTTGAACTGAATTGTATAATATATCCTTCGTTCGAACTATATATTCTTCGAAGGCTCGAAGCTGTTTTATTCTACACTTGCTGTATTATATCTTTGATTGGCGACCACGGACCACGCTTTACATTGAACAATCATGTGAACATCTATAAGATCCATCACGAGATCTCTAGTAAGCTGATTGATTCGTTATTTTACTTTATTATGAGAATACTATTGAATATTTCTTGTACGTTATTACATGAATGTAAGGATTAAGCCTGTAAAGGTACATGCAGTGTCTCGTGTGCATGCGTACGTATGTTGTTAGCTAGGTATTGTTGGAGGCTTACGAGGTTTTGTAATCTACAGTTTGCTATGTCGCACTGAATTGTAATTCTAATTGTCCTGTTTGTGTTACTATCTGTTTATAAAGTACAATTTTGCTATATAATGCATTTATCTGACTTTGCTCCAATCCTGCATTGTCACGCTAGCCATTACACTTTTTCTTAGCAAAGAGCCGTCTTACTCCGCATTTCCAAAAATATAGGTCCATAAAATGCCTTCTACTAACATCAAGAATGTCTCAGCTGGCAGGAAGTACTAACAAAATCAGTTATTTATCTCCCTAAAAATTTTTTCGGGAGTTTTTATCAGATTTACGAAATCACAACAAAATACTTTTGTCCTCCATGGTCGTGTTTGTTTTTGCGTGCAAATACTGGGGGTGACTTAGCTTCAACTTCATGGTGGTTAGTGCATCACGGATTGCTATAACCAAAACCCATGCGCATTAAACTATACTGACCAAAAATATACAGATTAAATATACATATGTCATATAATAAGATACATAAAAATGTTCAGAATATCGAAAGAGGTTATATAACCTCTTGTTATGTTGACTTTACACTTCATTTTAAGGGTACAAAATAGCACCTTTGACTATAGCAGCCCAGGAAGCATGCGAAAATTATGTATACGCATGTTTATATACTATATATATACATATATATTTTATATTGGCGATATGGTCAGATTAGTTAAAATTTGGAAACTAAAAGTAGTATGTAGCCGGATATAACTAGGATATTTGGTGGCGATTCTACCTTACGTTTTTCAATTTACCGGTTTGGTATATGTCTGGTTTCATTTTAAAGAAATCTAGCCATGTAATTATCGAAATTGAAAAAGTCTTTGATCTTAGTGCTTTTTAAAAATGAAATATACGCATACCCTGCATATACTTGTAAATTGTATGCCTTGGCTTGAGAATGTCGTATACATTCAGCAATTGACAGTACGTCAGTGCTACCTCAGCTTCGCTATGGCGAATAATGCAAACTTCGGCTTGATAATTCTCGATATCACACTCAACCTCATCCAATAATTGTTAAATAACCTTCGGTGCACGAGGGGTTTCCCTTCTGTATAAAGGAGTTCCCGAAATTTCCTTCCAGAGTCTTGAAAGATATTCACCATCGTTATTATATTAGGATAGCAATATAGATTGTAAGATAGTGGCATGTAAGATTTTTTTCATAAAATTTACACCTTTATATATTATTCAATTTACCCAGGAAACAATAAACATGAATTTACAAAATCGGGGATTTCCCTTTTAAAAAGGTATTTTACCAAATTTTCGAAGTATAAAAACGTGGTGTCAGAATATGAGCTTGGCTTTAATGGATAGCCTCTCGCAGGTCTCATCTACGCCTTTAGCTTGAAATAAAGTATCGTTATACTTTGAACTGAATTGTATAATATATCCTTCGTTCGAACTATATATATATTCTTAGAAGGCTTGAAGCTGTTTTATTCTACACTTGCTGTATTACATCTTTGATCGGCGACCACGGACCACGCTTTACATTGAACAATCATGTGAACATCTAAGATCCATCACGAGAACTCTAGTAAGCTAATTGATTTGTTATTTTACTTCATTATGAGAATACTATTGAATATTTTTGCACGTTATTACATGAATGTAAGAATTAAGCCTGTAAAGGTACAGTGTCTCGTGTGCGTGTGTTGTCAGCTAGGTATTGTTGGAGGCTCACGAGGTTTTATGATCTACAGTTTGTTATGTCGCACTGAATTCTAATTCTATTGTTCTGTTTGTGTTACTATCTGTTTATAAAGTACAATTTTGCTATATAAACTATTAAACTATACTGACAAAAAATATACAGATTAAATATAGCCTACATATGTCATATAATAAGATACATAAAAATGTTCAGAATATCGAAAGAGGTTAACCCCTTGTTATGTTGACTTTACACTTCATTTTAAGTGTCCAAAATGGCACCTTTAGCTGAAAATTATGTACGCATGTTTATATACTATATATATATTTATATCGACGATTTGGTCAGTTTACTGAAATACTTTTCTGAACCTTTTCTGAATACTTTCCTGAACCTTTTATATAGAAATACTTTTCTGAACCTTTGTACTGTATGTTTGGCTATTCTACAATTTCACAATATTTTTCGGTATAATTATATCATTTATAGACCCTCCGCTCGTGAGTTTCGGCAAAATATTTCCCTCAGTAATGATATTTCGTCAAAATATCAAGCCTTCAGGAAATATTGCGTTGAATCCCCCTCACTCCAGGTCAATAAATGATAAAGCCAATATATATATTCATTTCAATATCAATCGGCAAAAGGTGTATTTTTGGCAGAGTCGATTTCAAAATTTGAAATCTATATAAGTAGTTGCAAGGTTTTACATTCATGCATTTAGAGGAAAAATACTCCAGTTTTCAGTCTTTCAACAAACCTCTCACTTTCAACAGAAACAAAATAATGCTTAAAGTTATTAGCTCCATCGAAAGTATATTTTACGAAAGGTAATGGTAAGATTTAAACCTTATAAACTTTATTCCTTTTAATTGCCACTTTGATGCAACTATATATTACGTTCAGTGTAATCGGAATGAATTAATTTTGGCTAGCCATATGTACGCGCCGCCTACCTATTTTTTAAGAATGCCTGCGACTTGCGTCAAAGCAAAACATAATGTTAGCTTAGTTTCTCGATTAGAGAAGATTTTTTCAACATGAACGCTTTTTCCTTCAAACAAAAAAGGAGCTATTAAAGTGAAAAATAAGGGGGAAACCTTTCAGTTCGACTACATTATTTTTCTGTTAATTCTATCACGTTTTGATTCTATTACGTATTTTCTTAATTTCTATTACGTTATTTACGTTTCTACTACAAATGAAACTGAAGTTGTCCGCCATTATGTAACAGTGAACTCTAATAAAACAGTGGCGTAGCCAGCATCGATAATTGGGAGGGTCCATATTCATATATGCATGTAAACAGACTGTAAAGACAATTGATTTGAAAAGAAATTAATCCTGCGTATCACGAATATATGAATATGCCCCCCCCCCCCAATTATCGTTCTGGCTACGCCGCTGTAATAAAACCACCAGAACCGTCGCAGTTAGACCGCCTAATTTGAGGGGTGTATATATTATATTCATTATATTAAACAATTCTTTGACGTGCCTTTTTTTCGATTGATCAGTTCTATATAAAAAGTAAGATAAGATATCTACTTACTTTCATAAGTAAGCCGCATCATCTAACTGTAAAACCCGTACAAGCTTTGTATAGGTGGTGAAAAATCTGCTATTTTGAAGCTTTTTTATAGTGTTTTTGAACAGGTAAATTGGTAGATTTTGACGATTCAACAGATACTAAAAGTATAACATTTCACTGTTGGAAATATATGTTAATTGCTTCAGGCGAGTTGATTTTGCAGTCATATATTTCTCCAGGTGATCTGGGTCGAAAATTTTAGCTAATCAGAGCAAAATCGAACATTGTCAGATAGAAATCCATACCGAGCTGCCTAGCGCGCTTCAAAAATAAGCAGTGGAGGGTAAAAATATAGCTGAAGTTCATTGTTTTCTACGGAATTTCAAGCGTCGAAAAGCATGTAGCTCTTCCTGGCGGTTATTTATTATAGTTTGGCCCAGGGGCGCCGGAATATCGATAATAACGGGGGCAGATATTCATATATTCGTGTTCTGCATTATTAACTCCTCTTGAAATTGATTGTTTTTACGATCTGCGAACACGAATATATGAATATCTGCCCCGTTATTATCGATACTCCGGTGTCCCAGGAAATTTGGCCCCCCCAAATTTTGGCCCCCCCGGGCCATATTTCCTAGGAAATTTGGCCCCCCTAGGGGTCATATTTCCTAGGAAATATGGCCCCCCTTTCGGAAATTTGGCCCCCTCGAAAACGTATACTTTACTGCCATGAGTTTGAGAATCGCGAAGCTTCTTCTAAAAGCAAGATCGTAAATGTTTGTTTGTATTCATACTTAGTTTGCTTCATTTATTTGTGTAAAACCTTTTCATCTCAGCGAAGAGCTAAGACGAATATTGTTAATGTGCACGTGCATAACTTTAGGATTATCATAACATTACTAGAGGCTTTAATCGAGAAATAAATAAGTGGTAATTTCCTAAAACAACCTTTCCTATGTATGTATAACCGCTAAGCCTATAATTTATAGCCTTTATAAGGTCGCCAAATTAAGAATTTCTGGGGAGGACAAATCACGTATTTCACAGTTCGGAAATTTGGTCCCCCTCGATAACATACTTTATACTCTCAATATATATATATATATGAAATATATATAGTTTTGAAATCGCGAACTTTTGACTCAATATTCAACAAGTTTCTGAACCTAATATGAAATTCGTCAGAATAACAACCACACTTTAGCAAGCGATGACAACATGCGTTGGCGAAAGTGTTAATGTGCATGCGGCTAACATTTAGGGAGTAATTAATACAAATTTGCATAAAAACGTTTAAAAACAATCGGCAAACACAAAAACAAGGTTACATGCACCATACAAAATCCGTCAGTGCTGTTTGTAAGTTGTAACTCAAACAAGAGTACAGCTAGATAGACTTTTATACACTTAAAACTTTTATACACTTAAGTTCTCTAGCTCTAAAATGGTAAGGTAAACTATGTTTTTTAGAGGGGGGCCAAATTTCCGAAGAGGGGGCCAAATTTCCTAGGATATTTGGCCCGGGGTGGCCATATTTCCTAGGAAATTTGGCCCGGGGGGGCCAAATTTTCGGGGGGGCCAAATTTTCGGGGGGGCCAAATTTCCTGTGACACCGGCGCCCCTGGTTTGGCCGGTTTGACACTTTAAATGGAAAGTCTTTTTCCTCAAGAGCTGCAAGACGAAATCGCGTTACTGCCTGGCCAATCGGGGAAAGTTTCGACAGTATAATGTTTTGTATTTTCTCAAGTAAATAGTAGCGAAGCCGTCTGTACTGTGATAAATATTGGCTAGGCCTGCCGCAGAAAGTTGTTTAAATCTGAGACACGAACAGAGGTTTGCATAAAATCCAGGCAAAATCAGGTTACACTGTGATATTTCGACAGTTTTGACAGGTTCCGCCCAACATCGAAATATCACAGTGTAACCTAATTAGTTTATAGTTTAACATTTAACGTTTCCGGAGGTTTGAAGGGTCTTAATTTCGAGTGGAGTTATGCCAATGAGCATTGCTCATGCATTCGCATAATTCCTCCGGCAGGAATCGAACCTACGCTATACAGAATTTTAGTAAATCATGTTTTTTGACGTGCATCTCGATATCAGCGATTTTTGTTTGTCAGGATGAATTTTTGAGCACACATAGCATAGTTTTGCGGTTTCATCCTATGCAAATGCGTGATACTTCATATTCACACTTATGTGCGATCAACTCGGGAGAGAATTCTCATTAGCATAACCGGGATATAATATTTAACTGTGAATATTGTTTACGTTTATTATAATATAAACAAGATCAAGTCTTTTGACACGTAATATTGCCATCACTATCCTGGGGTCGGTTGCATCAAGCCCGTTTAGCTTAAACAGCGGATAAGTCAAACTTAAATAACACTCTTACGTCTCTCTTGAATGAGTCAACTTGAATATTATGCACTGAATATGTAGTTGCACAGTGTGGTAGTTGTAAACAGTATCTTTGTATTATGGTCAAAAACATTTAGTTCGTTTGTTGAATAAAACGATAGACTTGCTTTCTATTTTTGACTTATCCGCTGTTTAAGCTAAACGAGCTTAAAACAACCGGCCCCAGAAGACTACCCAAGAAATGACTGGGGAAGATAAAGGTGCTACGTGTATTCACTCACTCACAGCATTTCACTTTCAATTTGTAATTCTAGTATATAAAAGTATTTTTTACGCAAACAGAAGGGTGATTTTTTGTGTGCCTTTTGTCTAGGTTTGTTTACCAACATTCAGTGTATCTGGTTTATTTCTGTCTTCATTCTGTGGAATTGTCAAGATGTAGTTGAAATATAGCTCTCAGAAAGGTTTGTTTTCCTAAATATTATTCATATCATGTTTTATGAAGATGATAAATGCTGTTAGATTTTCAAAGCATCTTGGTAGATTTCAAGTTAAAACGTTTATAGATACCGACTAGTTCGTTTAACTTATACGCAGCTCGGTTTTTCCTTTTGCGTCGCGTCCCTTACGAGAAACACGCGTGGTCGGCACGAAGTCATCGAACGAATCGAAATCGTCCTAGGATCGTTTCTCGCGCGAGTGTCACGAACATGCCGTAACACCAAAAATTAGGTGTTACAAAGTCAAACGAGATAACTGTATCCCAAGTGAAGGCGTCTTGTTATTCTTAAAAATTGGTATTCAAATTTCCCTGAATGCTTTTGAAATTTGCTGCATGCCCAGACATTTTCCCGCGATGTTTATAGGCCCTGATTCTTGTTAAGAACGAGACATAGAGAGATACCAAACCATGCGTGCGCGTACGCTTAGATGACATTTACCCCTACAGGAAGCGATTTTGCAAGGAATCCAATACGTGTGAAACAAAAAATTCTAACGGAATATAAACTTTGTCTACAATTACAATTCGCACAATTAAGGGCGAAATATATACCGTTGCATAGCCATAGGATTATAAAGTCTTGTTTTAAAATTCTTATTTTCATTCTTGTTTATAACTTACACGCTATTTAATTGATAATTATAAGTTCTAAATAATTTTTCTTGTATTCAAGTATTCATGCCACAAAATGTGGATTCAATTCTCTAACATGAATACTAGAAAATATTGAAAGATTATTGGGAAAATTAGCACTAGAATTATCATTGCATTCTTACTTTTAATACTACTGCCGTTAAATGTCGCTTTGTGAAAAATTTGGAACTGTGGAAATGCGAATTTAACGAAAAATAGGTGACACGTGGACTAAAACGTGGGACAAAATGTCACAATAGTTCTGAGCCGACGATGCCGATATATTTTTAGTTTATGTGCATTTGGGAGATTTTGGCCTAAATATTGGATTTCAGTTAAATGTCTTTTCCATGTTTGCTTGCTTGTTTACTTTGACCGGAAATGACATTTCCATCATACATATAATTATAATCTAAAATAAAATAGGACTACATATGTAAAATAATTTATTATTCCGAAAAAGGTACGCTAATTAAAATCTGCAAATGTTCGTTTCAAACATTGAACTTCACATGAGAAATATGTAACATGCACAAATAATATAAAGAAAGCTCGTTGCGGTAACGATAAAGATCGAATAAAGCATATACCAGTATACATAAATTTAATCGCTCGTTTTGCAATAAAGTTCTTATTTTTAAAAGATTTAAGTAAAGTTCTTGTCAAATTTGGGCCAGTATCAACAGCTTAAGTCAACTTGGCTTGTATTATGTTTTCTTACAGCTTGTTTATATTATTCCGTTCACCGTTGTTAATTTTTCGCCGCTTGTGGGGGTCTATTTCTTTATGCAATAGTTCTGGCAAAGTTAGTTCAGCTCAGAAAAATTAGTGGTATTGATCAAAACTCAACACGTAAGCGGTAACTCACCCTTGCATAAATGTTAACCTATCCTCGAACACAACCTTAATCTAGGTCGATTAATCCCGTGTCACTATACTTTCATGTTCTGCTAAATAACCTCCCCAAGGTTATACAACTATTATCTATCGCTGAAGATTTTGTACTGTTTTAATAGTTTGAAGCATGAATTTAAAACTTTATGCCTATTTTTGTACCGTTGATGGAATCGTTAGCTATAAGATGTTGGATAAAAAATGATACACTGACTTTTAGGTCGAGTTAGCTCAAGAAATTGTTTAAAATAGCGAGGGGTTGCTGCATGCATGTATTTCTACGGTATAATTATGCGCGCAATTAATATGTTTTGATACTTAGTGTTAACCTATACCACTTATAATTGTGAGGATGCAATGAAAATTTCAAGTTTCTCAAAATTCCCAGAACTTAATTGTTTTAAAATATCTTTTTTCGCTACCGGAATAATGAATAAGCTCTCTTGATTTGGGTAACATTTTAGGAGGTTAGACCCCAATGTTATTTCGTAATTCGTTAGACATACGGAGCAATTTTCCCTCGCACATCTGGTCAATGTGATATCACCATATGTGTTCACAGCGAAGATCGTGAGATATATGAAGACCTATCAAACAATTCCTGTGAAACCTATCCAAGTAAGCCATTCGTTTTTTTACAGTAACTGGCTTCAGTTCACCTGCAAGAAATGGTAAATTTTGTAAGGCTTTTGATTGACAGAGGACCTCAGGCTTTTAGAAGTAAATTTTAGTGCAATGGATTTCCGTTCACAAGAAGCAAATTACACAAGACTCGCTAAACTTTTGGTTAACAAAGGAACTGAAGCTTTGAGAAATACATTTGATACCATCCATCCACCTGTTAGTCTACCCGGAGTACTGGCTGCAAACAAAACATTTCTTCAAGGGTTAAAACCTCGAGTTATTAAAAATTTTCAGTTGGAATTACTGTTTCCTCCGTCTGGCAACCCACCAGATTCCAAAACCTTTGACATCACATTATTCGTAATTCTATTCCGGAACATTTGTAGCTTAGTACCTCCATCAACAGGATGGAATGAAATGCCTCCGGATACTGATCGGTCGATGGAGGCAAATATCGTAAGAATCAAACTCTTAAGAAATAAGGTTTTCGCGCATGCAGTGTCAACTCAAGTGGATGATTCAAGATTTCGATCTTTATGGGCTAAGATTTCTCTCGCGTTAGTACAATTGAACATCCCCCAGAGTGATATCGACGAAATAAAAACTGGTCCTTCAGGACTTGAAGGGAGGGCGATGGAATGTGAAAATCATGAATTGACGCTGGCAGTAATGACAGATTTTAAGCATGATATTGCAACATGCGCTCAAAGAAGAGATGAAGATATCTTACTAACACTTGCTCATCATAGATTCGATACTTTAGTTAAAAACAAAGCAGAGCTTTTTCCGTGTGGCAAGAATGGGTGGCTATTAAAGGAAGTTGACATTTGGTTCGTGAAAATCGACAGTGAGTCAATGGTATTGTTATTAACAGCTGGCCCAAGATTTGGTAAAACGGAGTTTGCAGCTAAAGTGTGTGAAGACTTTAAGAAGAGTAAGCAGTTGGCTGCATGTTTCTTTTTCGACTCTAATAATTCAAATCTAAGCGATCCTATGGTGGTGTTAGAGTGTCTCGCAAGTCAGATGAGTGAGAACCTTCCTACTTTTAAAAAACTGCTACTTGATAACTTGAAGCGGCCGCATCAGATAGACAGTCTAAAGGCTGCCTTTCAAGTATACTTTAAAAATACTTTGGATGACTTGGATTTAGTTGAACCTGTTTTAATCGTCATGGATGGCTTGAATAAAATCTCGCCAAATAAAAAAGATGAAATGATTAATTTGATTCGCGATTATTTTCCCGAACTTCCCAAGTACATGAAATTCTTAGTGACCAGCACTCCGGAGATTGCTCTAGCAAAGCTAAATAATGTTCAAGCAATTGATGTTCAATTTCAAAGATTGCCATCGAACTAAAAACACGCGATTGTCTTGACTAGATGACGAAATAAAAAAAATAGTCAATTTCTTCCAGAAGCAAGTACATTTTAAACGCCTTGAAGCCGAGATTCAAGGCATATATATCTCTTTAAGAAAAGGACCTAGGTTCACAAGAAGCAAAAGTGACAAGGGTGTGTACGATGTAGCTTTTCCTTAAAGAAAGACTTGTAACCACTACCTTTTGCCATAAGCTCTCGTTAGGAGGCTAATGATTCTCTGAATTGGTCAAACCAACCATCAGATAGGTGCCCAATGCATCCACTTTGCCAGGAAACTCGTGCTTCTTCAAATCGTATCATAGATAAGTAGACCAATTTTTTAAACAAAATTCTACAAAGCAACAAACAAGCTGAATAGTTTGATAATTGAATATAATGGAACAGTCTCTATGTGCTTAACATTCCTCATTGCAAGTCTTGTAATTTGTTTTATAGTTTTTTTAAATAACCAATCTCATGTAGTTCAGTCATCATCGTTCCCAGGCTCCCTAGGAAAATCAGTTACTTTTCCGCAAAAATTTGTTGTCTCTGCCATAAGAAAAGTGCTGACTCACGGATATTATTCAAGGAGTGGAGCTTGTGAATTGGTTACAATTTTGATTGATATATTACAGTTGAATCGTCTTGTGCGCTTGGATACAACGTGTGACATCTTTCTTTGTTTTGAATGTCATTCGGTGACATATTTGGCATCAAATTTCCTATTTATAAATGAGTTTATTTATTTCTCGCAGCCAATCAGATCGCAGTTGGCATTAATTACGCCAGATATGGTTCCAGTGGGCAATGACCAATGACACGCCTTAATATCGAGCCCGCTCCATCGAACTCTAAACAAACTGGAACGATAACTCTGAGGGGGAAATTGAAGCCAGTGCTTTTTACTTTTTGCTTTTTATTGAGTTTTGAGCTGAAATACTTCACGCCAAATGTTGAGCCGTATATAAAATTAGAGTTATTAAAAAGTTTTATTGTATGGCAAGCGTCATTTCGGAGAAATGGAGCTCAGTGATTAACTGAGAATTTTCAGCGGTCCATTACTTTACCGTAATCGACCGGCGTTACCGGCGATCCATTACGAGATGAAAAACAGAGAAATTCTAAATTTTTTTCGTTACGAACATTTATTTTTCTACCTTTTTAACCATTTGTTAAACTGATAGGTATTCTGTGCTTAGCGGTAAATTTTTTTCGTTACGAATTTTTATTTTTCTACCTTTTTAACCATGTGTTGATTTCATTTCAAGATCTAAACAATTGCCACGTTAATTGTTCTAGCTTTAAATGTGACAAACGATTACTAATAGCTGAAAAAATTCAGTAATTAAAGGTGACATAAAATTTGTTAACATTTGCGAACCAAAATTGCAAACGAATTTGAACATGAAGTTTAATATCATATCAACAGAAAGTTATTTAGGTTTGGGATACAATTTGTTGGCTAAAATGGTATTAGCTATATATTATTCACCACTTTTGCTGGTTGATAATTTCATGGTATATATGTGTAAAAAAATTATAATTAACGTCATTCAGCTATAGGGCAGCCAATTCTGAATAGTCTCTTCTCATTTGAAGAGTTAACGCCAAATTTGAAAAGGCCCAAGATTGGCAAACTGGATGATTGAAAAACACAAGACAATGTAGCCCCTTGTCTTTTATATCCTTCTTGACCTTTTGCCAGCTTATAAAACATAACTGACCAGTCTAGCAGTCTTTAAGTGATTAAGTCCACCTGTAATAAGTGAACCTGGTAAATCTTTGGCAAAATAAAAAATCAAATTAAATTATAAAGCATCAAAAAACTCAGGAGGCCTAAATGTTCAATGTTTCACATTAATTAGTGACCAAGGATCACCAGATTTTGCATCTTTTGTGTGTTTAATAACTTGAATCCCGAATTTGCATGATAATGTTAATCACTCAGCTTGCTTTGTTATATTTTTATTATATCATTAAATTGTAGCTGGTAGAGGTTCTTCAGAATAACACTACATGACCTAAGCAATTGGTATGTTAGGACTGCATCTGCTATTGAAATGTTAGAAGTCCAGAAAGAACAGATTTATTATGTTACTTAGCATTTTATGGTCTATCATACTCATAATTTGTAATTTTGTACTGTGTATAGTTTTTGCCCAGAGATGGAAAGTACGTAAACTTTCTTTTGTTTTCCTATAATTGACATTATATAAACCAGACATTCTTCTACTGTGTGACTTCACAAACAGTCTGGTAGAATAGCAGTTTATAACAGGTATTTTAGACTTGTCTGAGTTACCAAACAACTACTATTCTGCTTGATGTTACGGCTACAGATGGATACAGGGTTCGATAAAATGGTATTAGATAATGCTCAGGGAAATGTAAAGATCTGGCAACTAAATTTAAAATACATCATTTAGAACAAGAAATCGAAAGGATTGCAAAAACAACTCCATTTATAAATGAATTGCGTATAAAAACAATTTATGCAAATAAAACTTCGATTTGTTATTACTAGCGTGAATCTCATGCATTTTATTTCTATTTTATTTTTACTTTATTTCCGTCGATTAATCTTCAAAAGTAAACATATAAGATCTTACAAGTGTGAGTCGATATTCATCCCTTCTTGCCACTAATTGCATCCACAAACTGAAAAAGAGTCAATTGTTTCTCAAGACCAAAACAAAGTAGGAAAAATATTATGATTCGTTGGAAAAAACACAGAGTAAGCACAAAAAATAAAAAATATTCTTCTAAAACAGCCGGTTTGCAAAGGAGTGCGCCTGAAGCACTGTATCACGGTTTTCAGTGGTAATTACCATTGGGATCATATCTGGCGTCAGCACGGAAAAGTCCGCCATGTTTCTTGCTTCACTTTTTGATCCAGAGCAAATCCTCCAGGAAATATAATATAGCTCATTGTTTAGCACACGCAGTACGCGGAAAACCTGGGAACGAGGATGGGAATTATGTACTTAGTCTACCTCACAAGATAGATAGAAGATATATAATTAATGTTTAATAAAAATTAATGTTTAACAAAAATTACTTGACAGCCGAGCGGCTGAATTGCGTCTTGATTAACATGTTCTGAAAAAATACAATTACAAGACTGCCTCGTACCCAGAGCCTGCAATAAATCAATCTGCTAATCTGTATAACTTTGTATCGCGTTCGGAGTTTGTCCTCGAGCGGGCGCGGAGCGTCTGCGAGGGTACTAATTCCGCGTGGAGATTAGAAATTACACCTGGAACCCGGGAGAACATAGCTGAATCCAAAGTTGTCCAAATTTTATGTCATGGACGGTTGACGTTGGGTGGTTTTGTGAGTTATGCGCATGCACGAGTAACGACTGATAATCAACAAACGTTCTGATTTGCTAAGACAGAAAGTTTGTATTTCAATGAGAACGTCAGCAATTTAACAGTCATTTCGTAAACCTTTTTGTAAAAGCGTTTCATAAACTTTGTTAAAATATCATAAAACACGATCTCGAGTGTTTTAAGTGCCTTCGTCAGGAGAGTTAGTATGATGATCATTTTCATACTCGGGTCGAAACGTCGAAAAGTGTTTTGTCTATTTTAGGCATAGGCGGCCCAGAACTGATTTCACTGACCTCGCGCTACGCTCATGTTGTCTGAACAGTCTTATATTATGACAAGGTAGGCAACTCTCACGCCAAATAAGCTAAAAACGCACGACGGTTGACCCAAACACCTTCACAAAACCGCAAATATTTCATAAAAATATGGCGAATAAGAAAAAAAAAGTACAACACATTAAACTTGAATAATTTTACTACATTTATGCTATATTTTTAGCATTCAAATGTATTCCTATGCATGTATAAAACGTGAATGTTTTTATGGTTTCTGGCAAATATATTTCAAAACCTATGCTGGGGACACCTTGCCTATACCTTCGTCATATTTTTTAAATTGAGAATAGAAAGCTGATTGGCTCTTTTTAAACGTTTGGGTCAACCGTCGTGCGTTTTTAGCTTATTTGGCGTGAGAGTTGCCTACCTTGTCATAATATAACACTGTTCAGACAACATGAGCGTAGCGCGAGGTCAGTGAGATCAGTTCTGGGCCGCCTATGTTTTAGGCCGTTGTTATACCACATTTGATGCTAAATTATATAAAGAATACCAATGAACGTGACAAGTTATCTAATGTCCATCCTAATTAACTTTCATAATACTTTACAAAGTATAAAGCCACAAACGTGACTTTTTATGGGTTTTTTTATAAGCTAAACTAATTTTTCAATCACCTATTTTTCAATCTCCCATTGTCGAAAAGATCGCACATGCATACATGTTTCGAACAGTGCATGGCGAGAAATTGTGGACACGCATGCGTGTTAATCGTGTGGACTAAATTTTTTCTGTAAACAAAATGGCGACACGTTATTATAGAATTGTATTGGAGTTAGGAATAAAATTGTGTTTAACGTAAACCTTTAAGGGAAGCGTAAAATGTCGGACCTAAAATTGGTAGATCATGGTGACAACTTTTATCGACGGAAAATTTGTAATATAACGATATACAAATTTCATTCGGTATCACGACATATAACTATGAACCAGGGGTGAAATAAAATATATAGCCCAGTACGTAAATACCTCAAAGCGGCCCAAATAAATGCCATTTTCTAACCATTGTGATTGGCGAATACTAAGTGTCGCATCTCCCTTAGCTTGCCGGCCAGTACAGTGTGTTTCAATCGGTAAATCTTCCCAAATCTGTACGATTTTTACGTAGTTCGTTATTTTAAACTAACTTTAGTGCAAAATTGGTAAATTCCAGCCGTGAAATTTGACCCCCCGAGCAAAAGCGCGCTGGAATGGCTAACAGAACAAACTAAATATCGGCCTTTCTTGCTCGAATACAACCTCGTACCCAGGGTCCCCGCGTTTAAAGTTCTGGTGACGCGAGGGGGACCCTGGCAAACTCCGATTGCCAGGTTACCAAATAATCCAAAAATCTTGGATTATTTGGTGACCTGGCCTTTTATAGCAACGTCATACCGGGGGGAAGACTCAAAATAGAAAAATTTCACAAATATGGCGTAAAAATTTTAAACATATGTTTGGTGATAGAAAGTTATTCAATTACTGGTTAATACCGAAGATTTTGAACTCGTGATCCGCGTGGAAATGTATAAATCTATATACACACGACATATCGAGTTCTGGATAAAGAAACAGGTACTGCAAATTAAATATCAGGGGCCGGTTGTTCGAAGCCCGTTTAGCTTATACGGTGGTTAAGCCCAAAATAAAATGCAAGTCTATAGATTCAGCAACAAAACTAAAAGTTTTAAAACTTAATAGAACGTTGATAGTCACAACTACATATTTAGTAAATAATATTTAAGTTAACTGATTCACGAGAGATATGAGTGTTTTTAATTTTGACTTATACTTTATATACTTTGACTTATACTGTATTATGGTAATTGCATTCAGCAAATACAATAAGGGGAACCAGCCATTCTAATGTACTTTCATGACATCACATTTGATACAGTATTTACTGAGTGATTAATATTTATCTCAATACCTGTAGGTAGGACATCTTAGTGTGGAATAACTCAAATGGACTGCAATGGTCCAGCCTCTCTTTCGCAGTATGTGATCCAGCTCGCAAGTCCTTTGCACCAGCAAACCTGACTCGGGTCATTTGATCACCACCAAATGGAACTGATACAATTTTCATATGGTCACTTTCATCCACCCTATTGTAATGTGCCCTTGGTTGATCTGGTAATAACGACTGTCCTTCAACTGTGAAATGGCCGTTTTGAGGCTCCAAGTTCTTCTTTCATGCCAAGCATGGTGGTGCCTCGTGAGATTCTCCCCCCCCCCGCATATCGAAAACGCTTCTGTGCCCTTGATTCATATTAGAAAATTTTGGTGATGAAGAAAATTTTCAGGCAAATAGCCTCAGCCCCCCCCAGTTGAAATTGGCCCTGTACGCCTATGATGACAAGTTCTTTAAACGTTTGCAAGGTGGAAAAACACCACGTATATTTATTAATGCAAACTATTCGATCCATATGCCTTGATTATCACTGATGACAATCCAGGCATACAGACTGAAAGCTTTGCATTAATAAATATACATGGTGTTTCTCCACAAAATAAATACAATTATAAATCATATATAGTTTCTGTTTTCTAGTGATCTATTCCTAGTATGTACAGTGTAAGACAAATGTGCTCTGAAACCTATTCCTCTTGTAGTTTTGTGCAAGTTTGTGTGTGCACAGTTTGATCTGGGTTGATCATATTGAATATTAAATTGCTGACATATTTTAAGGCTATTACAACAAATAGAATTTGTTCCTCATTTCTGAACTTGTCCAACATAAAGTGGGAAAAGGTCCTAGCCTAGAATCTGCAATTACAAAATATTTGGAATAAAAACTGACTTTATATTGTACCAAGTTGCATTGATCAACTGCTGAATGCCAAAGCATGGATGTCTGTAGATTGTACTATATCTATAATAGAACTTAAGTTTTTAACTACAATGAACATACATATAGACCTCCACTGGGAAAGCATTTTGAAACAATCGCAGAACAAGTCTGCAATTGAAGGACAGTTTATTTGTTGACAACCCTATAAGTACAAGTAACTATGTAAGAATTTTGCTGATTATTGTACATCATAATTATATATTTTTATATCATGAATTATATATTTGAAATTTCTACATGTCTTTTAAAAAAATCCACTATATCATATAACATATACATGTGCTTTAGAAGTGGTGTTTTCAAACTTTAGCATCAATGATAAAAAATAAGGACAAACAAAATCAATCTGTATTTTAATCATAAAATATACATACAATTTTATATACACTGAATTCATAGCCTTGCCAGTTGCCAGTCACTGTCACGTTCTTAAAGTTGTTGTCTTTTTTATCCAATAATGAGTCCATTAGGCTATAGTTGATGTACCAAACGATTCCTATCGATACTGATTGGACTTTAGAGATCTATCATAACCACAACCTACACAAATAGCCAATCTTTGAATTGTATAAAATGTGATTGTGATGTGATTCATCTTTCATCTTTTCATGTCAATTTTCATACATCTTCGGTAAACAAGATTGCAAAAATATGTAGACTGCTGCTGCCAGTAGGGAAACCAAAGTAAGAAGAATCTTGTAAAAATAATCTTGTAAGAACGATCTTTGTGTCTATATATCTTTTATTTGTGTTATGTATTTATTTGTCTTCGCGAAGTTTGCTTCTGCATTCTGCACCAGTGTTCTGCACAGAGCCATCACCCCCCGGATCAAAAAGTTACAAATTACGTAATCTCCAAGATTCATGACGTCACGGCATCGGAGTTTGCCAGGGTCCCCCTCGCGTCACCAGAAATTTAAACGCGGGGACCCTGGGTACGAGGTTGGCTCGAATATGCATCCATTTTGCTTGTTTTTAGTACAAGCTTTGTGACCAAGCCTTAGTCTCTAGGCAAAATTAATATATTCATAAGCATTGCCGTCTATGGCTGGAATATTACATAATTATATTGAAACCGGCGAAATTTTGAAATTAATTTTGCGCAATATTCATAACAACAAACGCAGTATATTTTAGCATCTATGGCAGTTAGGTTAATGTTTTTAAAGCATATAGAAACAAGCTCTTAAATGTCTGACGCAACTATTTCTTTGGCGAATGTTAAACTGCTCATAAATGGAAATGTGCGGTCGAATATGTTGTTCTACGTCGCTAAACAAGCCATATCAGGTGATCATGTTTTATACTGTATGGCTATTCGCAATAGCGTTTTGCTACAATGGCATAACGCATAATCCAAGCAGGAAAATTACATAGACTTTCTCAACGAGAGT